GTCAATACTGAGATTCCGTGGTGAGGAAGTTACTGAGAATGACTTGCTAGAGAAAGCATTCTCGACCTTTCACACAAACAATATATTGCCTCAGCAACAATATCGTGAAAAAGGTTTTTACCACATATGCAAGTCTAAACTCTTGTTTTGCTACTTGCTGAGCAAAACAATGAGTTATAAATAGTGAAATGAGACCTCATGGTCCTACCCCATTATCAGAAGCCCATTGGGTTGAAGAGCCTAAAGAGCCTAAAGAGACTAAAGAGTCTAACCACGTCCAAAGAGATAAGTATCATGGCCACAGTCATGGTAAATAGAATGGACGTGGTAGAAGTGGCAATTATAATTTATATGATCAAGGAAACCATTCATATGGTTAAGGCCGCCGACCCGACTTTGGTCGTAATCGAGGTAGAGGCCGCGGTATACCCAAACCACAACACTCAAATAAACTTGTTTGCCACTGATGAGGAATGGGGAAACCATTGGACTAAGACGTGCATGACACCTAAGCATCTCGTTGATCTCTATCAAGAGAGTTTGAAAAGAATCTAGAAGCTCATTTAGTTCATCATTATGAGAATTTAATAAACGAAATATCTAAAGACATGGTTCATTAGCCAAATTGCGGGTATAGCTAAATTTAGTGAAGGCTAAGGGCAGGCCCATGGCAGGCCCAAGGGCACGCATCCTCAGATGCTTCATATTCACCCAGCTCAAAGGGGCTTGTTGAGTTTCAAAGAAATGTGTTTGAATGGTTTCCACATTGAAACTAAGTGTGAAGGGAACAAAGGATTCCCATATATTACTAAGAACATCCAAGACCATGAGAAGGTCTTAGAGACTATACCCGCTTCATAGATCTTTACTATGCCAAGGTCAATATGATCAAGGCTAATAAAGTAAACAAAAGGGTTTACTGAGAGATTCACTAATGGCATGACCGGCTTGGCTAGCCCGGTTCGAATATGATGCGTAAATTAATTCAAAGTTCTAAAGGGCACACCCTTAAAGAAAAACGAGTTTTCCCTAAGCACCACACGTGCATAGCCTGTTCACAAGGGAAGCTTATCACTCGACCTTCACCAGTCAAAGTGTCTAAAGAGACCTTACATTTTCTGGAACGAATTCAAGGAGACATATGTGGTCCGATCCATCCACCTTGTGGAACATTTCGGTACTTCATGGTTTTAATCGATGCATCGACCCGCTGGTCGCATGTTTGCCTATTGTCTTCTAGGAACCAAGCGTTTGTTAGGTTATTGGCCCAAATCATCAGATTGCGAGCCCATTTTCCAGATTTTCCTCTTAAGACCATACGTTTAGATAATGCTGGTGAATTCACTTCCCAAGCATTTAATGACTATTGTATGGCCATGGGGGTAAGTGTGAAACATCCTGTGGCACATGTCCATACACAGAACGGATTAGCTGAATCCCTCATTAAACGAATTCAACTAATTGCTCGACAATTACTCATGAGGTCGCAGCTTCCGGTCTCAGCTTGGGGACATGTAGTTTTACACGCTGCTGAACTAATACGCATTCGGCCATCTAGTGAGCATATATATTCCCCATCCCAATTGCTAACGGGTCGTGAGCCAGACGTTTTCCATCTAAAGACATTTGGGTGTGTCACCTATTTATCCATAGCACCACCACAAGGTAGCAACTGAAATGAATGAGGATCAGGAGCCCACGTCTATACTAGAGTGCACTCAAAGACCTGATTGATTAAAATGGTACAAGACCATAAAACGTGGAGCTAAGAATCATTAAGAAGAAGAATGTGTTTGGTCCAATACAAAGGACACCATTCAATGTAAAGCCAGTGGGACAAATGAGTCTTTGTGATAGTGTGAAATAAACATAGTGAAAGCGTGATATATCAGACACGGCTTGTCGCACAAGGATTCACACAAAGACCAGAAATAGAGGAGATATACTCCCCTGTGGTGGATGCTAAGACATTTAAATCCATGCTAAGTCTGGCTATATAAAAGAGAAAGATTTGCGGCTAATGGATGTAATGCCTGCATATTTATATAAGTCCACTGGATAATATATGAGATTACCAGAGGGTATTGAGCTCAAAGATAAGAAAGATTCTCGAGAACAGCACTGCATAAGGCTGGACAAATCCTTATATGGACTGAAACAAAGCGGACGTATGTGGTATAACCGGTTAAGCGAATATCTCATCAGAGAAGGCTATAAAAACGATCTGATCAGTCCATGTATTTTTATCAAGAGGTTTGCAAACAAAGGATTTGTAATCATAGCAGTGTATATGAATGATTTAAACCTCTGGGTAATCGACCAAACAGTTGAGTATATCTAAAGAAAGAATCTGAAATGAAAGACCTAGGCAATAATTAAGTTCTGTTTGGGATTACAACTTGAGTACGTGAATAATGGAATCCTTGTGCATCAAATGGCATACACTGAAAGAGTACTCAAGGAGATTTAATAAGGACCAGGCCCGCCCATTGACCAGGCCCAATGGTGGTGAGAAGCCTCAGATTGGATAGTGATCCATTCAGTCCGGAAATGCCATACCTAAGTGCCATAGGAGTTCTAATGAATTTGGCTAGACACACTAGACCAAACATTTGTTTTGCCGTGAGTCTCCTGTCTAAATTTAGTTCATGATCAACCCAAAGGCACTGGAAAGGTTTAAAGGAAGGTTTGGTTAAATTTTAAAGTTTATTCTTCCTGAGTTGTTTACTTAGGTATATTCTATACTGATCTAACCAAGGAAGTTTCAGTTTGCTTTGGTTTAGTTTGATTTGCTGATGCAGGTTATTCATAAGATCAAATTATGGCATGGTCAATGAATAGGAACTATGTGTGGCTTGATCCCTTCCAAGGGTACGTAGGCAGCCTTCCTTAAGGCGCATCTACTACTACATCAAAGACCATCATATTTGAAGACAACACAGCATGTATTGCTCAACTCAAGGACGGCTACACTAAGAGAGACCGGACAAAGCACATTTTGCCAAAGCTCTTATTCACTCATGAATTACAGAAGGACGGTCAGGTCAAAGTTCAACAGATCCGGTCAAGTGAGAATTCAGCCGACCTATTCACCAAATCATTTCCGACTTCAACGTTCCGGAAGCTCATTCATCAGATCGGGATGCGCGGACTTAAGGATCTACAGTGATGCTCAAATCAGGGGGAGTAATGCGTGTTGTACTCTTTTTCCTTCACCATGGTTTTGTCCCACTGGGTTTTCCTGGTAAGGTTTTAATGAGGCAACATTCCCCAGCGCATTATAGAGATCCCGATTTAGTATCGGGCACGGTTATGTCTTCCAAGGGGGAGTGTTATAAACCATATGGATGGACTCCATAACCGGCCCATGGCCCATTAGGGTTTTACCTTATTCTCCGTATCCTGCTATTATCCTTGTATATATATCCCTTATACTATTAATGAAAGACACAGTTCACAACACAAATTATTTTATCCTAAGTAAAGTTAGGGAATTAGTTTTTGGTATTTTTTAGACAGTTTAGGATTTTTTCTTTTACAATTTTCCCAAATTCAATTGGAGTATTCACCCAAATGTATAGAACGTTTTGGGTAAAAGGATCGTATGATCTATGAAAATCTAACTAGAAAATGCCAAATATTAAGCAAGGAAGACTAACTAGATACATAATTCCCTATGGTGCTTGTATGATTCTGATAGCTCAAGTCTTTTCTATTCGTAAAAGTTTTTGCAAGATATACACTTTAAATGAGAAGCGGGTGATGAAGATCACATGCAATTGAAGACCAATAAATGATAAAGATTGAATCATAAAAAGAAACTCAATAAATTGTGTTAAATTTGTTATCCAAATTCTTACAAACAAAGTCACAAATCTTTTTTAAGAAAATAAAGAAGACCAAATCTTGAAATTCAATTGAATTATGATCAAATTCTGTAAAAAATACATCAGACTAACCTGAGTGTTGACTTTTGACCAAATTCACTAAAAAGTAAAAACACATAAGTCCAAATTAATAGATTCATGTACACTCTGACTAAAAGTCTAAAACTGCTAATCGAGCAACGTCGGGTGAAAAAAGGAAAGAAAACTTATAACAGTTTTCGCATCATACATACTAGAGGGCTAAGTTATAATTGAAAGATGGTCTCTTCCTTTCCTCTCGTATCAGAGAAAACATCCAGGCTAATAATTTAGTTTAAAAACTGAGTAGTTTAATGGGAAAAATTAATGGTAAGAATTTGAAAGCTTCGAATTTCATTTAAATCGGTTTTGGTGTGTGAGCTCTATGGAGATTCGACCAATGATCTAAAAACACACATGACATATTGTATCTTGTGAATTTCCTCAGTTTCTGTAAAAATTTGAAGTGAAGACATCACAACACGGCCACAAGGCCTCCTCAACTCCTTGATAGAAGATCCAACTTGACTTTTATTGACTTAGTCTCGGACTTGACACATTCCGCCGTCACAACCATCACCAATTCCGGTTATGTTCAACAAGTGACTTGAATTTAAATCAAAAATTGAATTTAAATAGAATATTAGTTTTAAAAATATTTAATATTTTGGTCTTTTATTTTAGTTATTAAGATATTAATATTTTTAATAAAAATAACTAATATAAAATGAAACATAAATGAGTTTAAATGGATACCCATTTATTTGTATGAAACCCTATTTAATAAATGGGTTTAATTGGGATAACCCATTTAACCCTATTTAACATTTTTCCCTAAATAGATTTAAATGGATTAATTTTTTTTGTACATATTCATTTAATAAATTGGGGTTCCATGCCCAAGTTAACATCACTAGACAAGTCTATCACATTATTTTCCCGCTTCACTAGACCAATATAACGAAAAGCTATATTTTTGACTTTATCTTCCAATTGACTATCTTCTTTCTTCTGCAGAATCAATCATGGCACTGGCTCCACTTGCAACACTTTCCACAACAGAAGAGCTTCTCCTGTCAATTGCTAAAACTCACAAACCAATCTAAGGTAAATCTATCGATACAAAATTTGTAGACCTTAAACGTGTGTACAGTTTCTAAAGAAGTTTTTGGATTATTTTGATATAACTTACACATGAAAGATTATGAGAGACTGAGAGTATATGAAATTTGAACTAACTGAAATTTGATTTCGAGGAATATCGTAAGGGGACGGGTTCTAACTAAAAGCAAGAAAGTCGACTCTCACTCGATTCCAAATTACTTGTCTATATTTTGAGGCGGAATATAGTAAGGGGACGGGTTTCTGGTACTCCTCCAAATCAGGGGGAAACCAGTCAGCCTGGAATATACGATTTCATCGAAATCCCTGATGACAACGTAGTTAGAATACAAGCCTGGAAAGGAGGTAGCAGAGACAGCGAAAGGTTCAGACTTTGAGAGGAAAATGCAGAGATCTCCAATGTCTTGGGTGTAAACAGCGCTTCCGTATTCATTCACCATGAACACCATTAAAGCTTCTGTCTTCAATTTGGCTATACCATTGATGGTCTCCGCATCAGTCTTCCTGTACTGCTTAACCAAGAAAGTCTCACCTGCTGGTGACTCCACCAAGTGTTGGCTCCTGTAGCATGAACGCAAAAGCTCTCGTTTGATCTTGGTCAGCTCGGGAAGGTTTTGAAAATGCAACTCCTGGAACTTGGGTGTGTGGTGGTTGAGATCCCATGATCCAATGAGGTGCCCACCAGATCCGGGAATGCGAAACATGCCCTTGGAAAACATGACTCGGGAGGAGGAGAAACATGGGTTTTCGATTCTCACGTTGGTCCACTGGGAGTTGCTTTGAGCGGGTCTGCAAAAGCTGAGTTGAGGTCCCAAGAACTTGACAGCCACAACACAGTCTTCATCCTCGGGAGAAGATGAGGACATTGACACGTTTGTTATGATGTCGGTTTGGCAACCATGCAGAGTTACAAGAGGAGGCAGCGGGATGCGTTTCGGGTTTACATCTGATGCAACCGGGTTTAGATCATCTTGGAGACGCAGAATCCCGTCGTCCTTCGTCAAAGTAGCCACCCAGCCATGAGATGCCCCGATGGTACTAATAGAGAGTTGTGCACTTCAAGATAGTTCACCATAGGTGTCTATAACAAAGAAATTTTTAGTAAACAATAATAATAAATTATATGAACTAAGAATGGGTGAAACCAAAACCTTACCTCACATGACATGTATTCATTTTCTGTGATACCATCGATTTCAATAGTAGCACCATACCATGTAAAAACCTGAAAAAAATGAGTAAACTTTTATGTATCAATGGGATATTATCATCATCTATAAAACAGAACAATATTCAGCTGATTCAACACACAAGGCCATAAGATGATACATACAGAAACTTAAGAACCCACTTCAACTATAAAGCATCAAGAGTATAACTTTAAACTCAGATCTTTAATCTAACCCACAAGGCCTCACCAGCTGGCGACTCCACCAAGTGTTGGCTCGTAAAACACAAATCTAGAAGCTCTCGTTGGGTCTTGGTCAGCTCGGGAAGGTTTTGAAAATGCAACTCCTGAAACTTGGGTGTGTGGTGGTTGAGATCCCATGATCCAATGAGGTGCCCACCAGATCCGGGAATGCGAAACATGCCCTTGGAAAACATGACTCGGGAGGAGAAGAAACAGGGGTTATCGATTCTCACGTTGGTCCACTGGGAGTTGCTTTGAGCGGGTCTGCAAAAGCTGAGTTGAGGTCCCAAAAACTTGACAGCCACAACACAGTCTTCATCCTCGGGAGAAGATGAGGACATTGACACGTTTGTTATGATGTCGGTTTGGCAACCATGCAGAGTTACAAGAGGAGGCAGCGGGATGCGTTTCGGGTTTACATCTGATGCAACCGGGTTTAGATCATCTTGGAGACGCAGAATCCCGTCGTCCTTCGTCAAAGTAGCCACCCAGCCATGAGATGCCCCTATCGTTACCATTCCATCACTTCCTCTTATCAACTCCAAAGGCACCTTCTTATCCGAAAAAGTGAAGCAACTATCAGTATCAGAACCATTCTTCGTCATCAAACTCATAGTCACGAGTTTCCCTAGACCCTCTCCACAAGGATCAGCGCTTAGGATGGAACAAGGAGGGGTTTGCAGCATGGAAGATGAGAACCCATTAGAGAGAAGAAGAAGAGAGAATCTTCTCGCTGACCCAAGGCGGAGCCGGCTCAGAAGCATAGACATCATGAACCGAAATTGTTAATCGAAAAGATAGATTTTAAGGGAGATGGAGAGAGAGAGAGGAAAAAACCCTAATTGAAGAATTGGTAATAAGGCCTTGATCACCAAGTTCTTGTCAGATATTTCATTTGTGGGGTTTAGGGTTTAGGATATTGAGAAAAGGAAAAATATATTTTTATTCGTAATTTGGGTCGTTCAGACAAGTATGCGACAAAAATTTCAGACATCGGTTAAATTTTTCGATTTAACAAAAGCTAATCGGTTTACATAATTGAAATGGTTGTAATACTGGAGTTTCTTTTTCTCTGGTTTCTTGAGCCCTACAGTCAGCAATTCCAGGGAGTTCTCGTCTAAGATCATTTTTTCTCAAATTATTTTCATATTTTGTATTGGTTTTGCTTAAACAAAAAAAAATGTGTAGTAAACAACAGCAAACGGATAGAGGTGTTTATTTAGGCTCTGTCCATTTCGGACAATGGTGGATTAACTTAGAAATTACTTTTCGTGGTAAAAATTACGATTTCTCAAAGCTTAAATGTTCTATTAAATAAGTTACTTAAAAATAGTTTGATAATTAAATTAGTTATAAATATAATTTTTATCATAAAAAGAGTACTATTATTAACATAAATGACTATCTCTTTAGTCATTTTGTTACTAGGTCTTGGTGCATCTGGATACAAAATCAAACACATAAATGAACAAAGTTGTATCTAAATACAAAATCTAGTTGTGTAAATGAAAAAAAAAAAAGCTTCTAAATGGTAGTAGCTTCCACGCACCAAACAAGGTTGAATTCAGTGTCATATATATTTCGCATGGTAGAGTACTTGCTTGGTTTTGCGGATTAGATACTAGTAACACCTTATATTAACCCTCTTTCTGAAAGAGTGGCTTTCATAGCTTCCAGAGAGTCCTCCATTTCATCACAAACCTTGTAAGGATTTTGTATGACCGTAGGATCGATCCCTATCGAAATTACCATCTTTTCCGCATAACTTAGGAAATGTATTGTTAACGCCTATAAAAAAGACATAATATAATATGTGAAGATAAAAGAGAAGAATGTTATTAATGAGTAGTTAGTAGTTTTTTTTTTCACATTCATCTTGGTGTATATATACGTACATGAGCATGTCCATAGACACTTGGAGCGATGTAAGCAATGGGGTGGCCAAGGAAATTGATTTCTTCCATGGGACCAATCATGTTTGAAATGAATGTGGTCGTGTTCGAAATATGTCGTTTTGGTAATATTGCACCTACCTACAATGACAAGAGTCTTATTTTTAAGTTCCTCAGCGTGAAAATAACAACAATCTTGAGCTCACTTGATCAAATCATATACCTTAGCACTGAATGTATTGAAGATAAATTCTGTAGTTGAATATGCCAAAGGAGCTTGAAGTGAGTGTTTTTTTCGATCCATAGCTGATTTTGCCTTTGATAGATACAACAATGGATCAGTCTCTAAACCGATCGCGATCGGGAAATTAATAAAGCTAAAGTAGTTCCCCCATCTGCATTTCGAATTCGTGGCCATCATCTCTGCCAATGGCTTCATACATGTTGTTGCCTTGTGTCAACATTAATGTTTTTCCTTCTATATATTAGACAAAGGGTTGGTTAATTAAATCTAGCTAGTAGTGTAGATTTCTAACCTGGATTCCAGTGTCTGACCTTAGGTTTACAAAAACACCTGCCGTAAGTCGTATTTTACCAGGAAAACTGCTAAGATAGCGCGAGAGAGCGGCTTGTGTAACTCCAAGTAGAACATCATTGATAGTCTAGCAACAAACACAAGAAGACGCAAATGAAAGAGAAACCCTCAGAAAACTAGTTATTGATTAGCTTCAAGAAATCAACCCAAAACGTAGTAGATACCATGTTCATAACTTCCTTTATAAGTTTTATGTCATCTAACGAAACAATCCGGTGACAAAATCTCTTCTGATTATTCTCTACACCCACATCACCTTTCAGAGGCGTCTTTGTATCCTTCAAGAACAAAGTTGTCCCCAAGAGAAGCAAACTATCCACGAAAGTATTGCAAATCAATCTCACTAACGAAAAAACCGCAAGTACCCATCTTAAGAACCATGGGACTTTATCTTTATCCTCCCTTTTACGCTGTTTAAGTACATGACTAGTAGGAAATATGTCTCGGTGTGATGTTTTCTGAGTACAAGCTATTAGAAGAGACATGAGAGATGTTCCATCTCCCAATGAATGGTGAGATCTTATTACACAAACCGCTTCGGCATCAATCGTTTTGATGTTGAGGATGTGCATGTCCCACAAAGGTCTTGATTTATCGAGAGGAAGCATCGTAAGACGTGAAACATAGTCTTCAACATAACCTTCTCCATCTTCTCCGATCTTGTTCTGGTCTATATCTGGTACAAATACATGGTTTTCTACATTGACTTGAGTCTTAATCCAACATGCACCATCATCAGACTACGAAATTTGAGATCAAAAAACACTAATTAAGTCATACATTATTAGAGATTAATTCAACAGTAAGTCAATATGTGTTCTTACCAATTTGCTAGAGAAACGAGGATGCTTGGAAACATTAAGCTTCAAGGCACGTAGAATGACATCAGCATTGATCTTGGTTTTGCAACCGATCATGGTGATGATGCAACAGTTGTTGCCCGGCGATTGGAACACACGAGCCATAGGGCTGAGCGGTTCTTCGTTTTCGTCCTCCACACTCATACTGTCTCTCTTTCCTCTTCTCCTTGCATACGCCACTTTCTTTCCTGTCACGTTCTGTTACACACTGACACGTTATATGTAACGTAAGGTAATACAATAATATTGATACAAATGTTGTAATCTTGTGTGTCAGGCTTTACACGATTAGTTCTCTACTTTTTTACGCATTCACATACAGTATATTGAAAAGAAAGCAACTTTAAAAATAACTTAAAATCGATAGATTTATTAAGATTTAGTGGTAAAAATGTTCTGCCTTTACCATATCTATGTGGAAAGTCTTATGCTTCTCTTTATATTTTTCAGTCTCTCTTCATTGTTTGATACATATTCTAAATCAGCTCTCAAAATTCTATCTAAATTCATTGTTGTTTCCCGATAATCGTTCTTCTCACCCGTGATGCAGCCAATGTTACTCTCGTTGTGCGCCTCCTTTGTTCTGAAGATATGTGACACTTTTCATATGTAATGTTCTCTTGATTGTTGGTTCACTTCACATTCTTTGTCTCAATAGAAGTATTTTAAATATATGCTTCTGTTTTCTGTACAAACATGTTCATCTACTATACATTTTTGCAACAGTTTTAGGGGTCCCTAATCGGGTCAAAATTTTGTTTAATTTTGACCCGAAAATCTATTAAATTTGACCCGGAATTAAGACTCTCGGATCTTACCTTATTTGAGATTTTGACCCGAATTTTCTCAATCGGAACCTTTCTTAATTGACACTCCCTACATTCAAGGCAAAACGCATTTAGTTTCTCATAATTGAAATATATGGAAAATATATATAGTTATAAATCGTTTCCTAAATAGGTGCTAATGAATTAAGTACAAAACATTTTTCTTTCCTAAATAAAATGTGAATATTTTTAAACCATAATAATATGAATCTCGCCTAATTAATAATCAAATCTTTCAAAAACCTTATCTCCTCTTAAATCCTAACTATAACCTGCGACTCAATATCATTATCTCCTTTAAATCCGTGTATCATTCCATAGATGAGTGTATCATTCATTTAGATATCTTCTCAAGAATATATTTTCATTAACGTTTATGATATTTTAACTTTCTTCCCAAGATTTTCGAAACTACTTGAGCCAAAAACCCTACCCTCCTTCTACACTATATATATCAACGTCATTTTCATCTACCATTCATCCAACAATTACATCTATTCACAGCAAACGTCTCATTCATCTCCATTTGATAACTCATCACACAATTACCTCTTTTCATCAATCTTTGATCACTTGCAAACTTTGAAATGGCTGCTTCCTTTGCTTTCCTTCGTGATGTCAATAAGTAAAAGACAGCTTGGAAATTTCAAGTGATAGTTCTTCATACCTGGAAAACATGGATCTAGCTGATATCAAAGTAAGCTATTTAAATAAATTCTTCAAAAACGATTTTTGTATAGCATTGATTTGTATCATTTTTAAAATGAGAATATTTATCTTCCTAAGAAATTCTTACCAACCTGATATATTCTTTGAAGGGAACAAAGAAGACCATCAAATGAGTCTTTGAGATGACTGAGGTAAAGTTATTCCTAAACCAATGATAATTTTAAATAAAAAATATGTATTTTTCTGTTTACTGGACTATTTTAAGGTATTTAACTAACTCAATAATTTGTTAATTGAATTTCATTTAGTATAAAGCTACTATAACTTATTACTAACCTTTATATATGAAAAAACAGATTTTACATGGAATCAAAGAGGAAGAATGTTTTCAAAGAAGGCAAAGAACAATCAAGAGTCAAAGTACAACATTTCTTTCAAATAAGATGGAAAGAGATTCACATTTGAAACTCCTCTTTCGTTTTCTAAAAGGTCCAACATGTGATGAAGATTGAAGAACTTACAAAGTTGGTCTACGAGACATACAATGATGCATGTTCGGCAAAAAATTTATTAGACGAATGATATGGTATATCTTATTTTTTTAAAAATTCTAAAATCTTATGTTAGTTTTCCATTTTCAATTATTTGTATTTTCTTAATTATGTTATCAAATTATTAAATTTCCGAAAACAAGACGCTTTAACTGTGAGCCAGTAATTTAAACTAAATCGCATTTGATCTAAGACATGAGTTAACTCCTTATAATCAAAGACTCAAAATCATAACAATATGTATTAGCTACCTGCTAAGGCTAGAGACCGATAAGCCGCGATCTAAAGCTTCTTTACATATATGTGATCCCACAAAACCATTTCCACCCCGGACAAGCAGCTGATAAAAGAACGAAATATAAGTTCCAAGATCATGAACATCATTGCAATATCTTTACAAATAATCACTATGTAAGATTCCTCAAAATGCATACCTTCTCAGTTGGAGTTGGAGGCACATGTACAGAATCAACTTCTTCCACATTGAAGGGCTCATCAATTTTGTTAGAGTCTGTCGACAGATACCTCCCGCCACCAGAGACAGAAAACAAACCTAATGATAGTAAATTAACAAATTTACTATCATAAGAGTATGATAGTAAATTAACAAATTTAGCACACATAAAACACATGATTTAACACTTATATCAACCACATTATAATGCCTTATGCTAACTAATAATATATGATAACCACAAAAACCTATATTCATTTTCAAAAAAATACATGTACTTTTTGAAAGGTATGATATAAAAATCCAAACAAATACCTACACCTGCGGTGTACTGCGGGTTCAATTTTTGATTTAAGTCCGATCCTTTTTATTTTTTATAACACATTAAAATACACATATACAACAATATATGAACAATTAAACAGAAATTTATAAACAAGAAAATATAAAAAAAATATATGAACCCGCGGTGTACCGCGGGTCAATCTCTAGTTTTCTCTATATAACTACAAAAAGAAAACACCAAGCTAAGACATTTACAACAAGAGTACCAATGTTGTGTAGTCGTTTAGACAATGATGAAGACGGCGGAAAACGATCAGGCTGTTGTGAAGGAGGAAAGGACGTTGTGTTTTCAAGAGAGCAATGGAAGTTACAGCGGCTCGAGGGAACGATTCTGTAAACACCAGTGCTTGCAAGTAAGTAGACGTCTTTATTGTTGTCTTGTCCAAAGGAGAATACAAAGCCAATTGGTGGAGATGAGGAAGAGGAAGGTTCTGTTTCAGCTGAGCAAGGGATTGGCGAATCCGAAGCGCATTGTAACGGGATTTGAGAGCTCGTAAAGTTTCCACTACCAACTGGAGTTTCAGCTCCACCCCAAATAATTCCGGCGTATAAGTCTGCAAAGAGATACCTAAAACACACTAAAAATAATCACAAACAGAGGAATTGTTCTTGATTCACAATACTGGTGTGGTAAATAAGAAGAACAAGGGGAATGAGCAAGAACATACGTTCCATACAAGCATGGATCAGTGGAGGAACGGTAAAAGTATCCGCCAGTTATTGATGCTGATCCTTCTTGTTGGTTTATGTCTGAATGATTGTACCACATTACCGGGAAGATCGGATTTGCAATCTTTGTTGTTGAGTTGCTGTTTTTAGAAGAAGTCGAGGGATTAAATGGCAAAGTTCCCTCGTAGTAATGCCAACCATAGTTTCCTCCCTTAGTGATCATATCAACTTCTTCATATTTGTCCTGCAAACTCAACATAGAAGGAAATGTTCATTGCCTCGTTTGACGAGAGAGTCATAGATCAAAAATGTTGGTCTCAGGTTTGGTATACCTCGCCAACATCTGCGCAAAAGAAATAAGACGGCCTCTCTGAATCAAAACTGCACCGCCATGGATTTCTTACTCCCATGGCCCATATTTCAGGCAACAGATTCTTATCTTGCGAAAACGGATTGTCCTTTGGTATAGAATAGTTCCCCCATAGCTGAAACTCATTCATCATTTTTGCATCTGAAAACCGATAAGGAAAAAGAACCAAAATCAAATCCCATGTTCATTGTGAAGTATGCTTCAGCTGTATAGAAAATACATATTACCAAGAACATTATTAACATCAAGTCTCATGATCTTCCCGAGCAGTGATTTCTTGTTCTGTGCAAAGTTGTGTGGATCTCCTTTACTTCCCCCATCTCCCATCATGAAATACAAGTACCCATCTTTTGGTCCGAACAAGATCTGTCCACCATGATGCGATGTATAAGGAAGACCCATTGTAAAGATTCTTCTTACCTCCACCGGTCTAACATAAGTCCCTGAAACATATCAATAACATCTCAGCAACATCCAATATATAAGGGAAAATATAAACAAAGGTGAGATTGTTGAATACCATTGGTGAAGAATTCTGATATGACACTGTGGTATTGACATGGGGTTGCTCCATTATCAGAATCTAGCTTTGCAGGGTCACAGTCAATATCTGAGTTGCACGCGCATTTTCCAGAACATTCTGGCCACTTAACTCTATCGCAGTTGAAAGAAGCAAAGAATCTACCGTTTTTCAAAAATTCGGGATGGAAAGCTATTCCTAAGAGACCAAGCTCAGCATCAAAGTGCACTTCTTCAGTAAGATCAAGAAACAGGTTAGTTTCGTCTATTTTCAAAAGTTCTCCAGATCCTTGAGCTGGAACTGTCGCCAAGTATATCTTCCCGGGTTGATCAGACAGAAAGACGCGATTAGAACCATCAGGATGAGGTTCCATGTTAAGATAAGACCCATTTCCAAGCTTCTCGAGGCATATGCCTGAAGGAGATGGACCAGTAACTTTTGAAATGTTAAATGAAACTGCTTGGCCGTTAAAGCACACAGAGGATTCATCTGAAGCTCCACCAAAAATTTTGCAGAAGTCATTGCTTGATTTCCATATTTCAGATATTGTGGAAGTGATGTTGCCTCCATCTCCAGCTTGAGAAGCAAAAGGAGTGTTGGTTACAGAGAGATTCTGGCATTCATTCCAAAATGTGGCACAAAAATCAATGTCTGCCAGCGATTGTGTTGATTTACTAGAAGAAACTGTAGAGTTGCAGAGCACAGGAACTTGTCTAGATTCTGATTCAACACGGAAAAGTTCTGCTGCGAAAGGATCACACTTCTGCAACCACAACATCCAAGTAATCTAGTCACATAATGTTGCACCATAAAATGCTTAAAACACATATATGTTTTTGTTTTGTATAACGGCCTTACTGAGCAAAGTAATGATTTGAGAAGCGGAGAACATCTGCCAGATACGTTAACCGCTTTAAACTCTCTCTGCAACTTCAAGTCGTCTCGGGAGTTACAGCATACACTTCCATTGAATTGACAAAAAGCGAGCGGTTGCTTCAGATGAAACGGTGCAGCTGATGACCAAACAATTCAAAAATCAAAAAAGAAACAAGACAAACACAGAAAGTCATCAATCTAACCTGAAGAGAAAAGAAAAAATAGCCACATACTCAAATCATTACATAAAGGATGTGAAAAGGAGTTTTTGGCAAGAAACAACAGAAGGAAAGAAAGAAACATTTCTATAAAACAGAGAGAACCCATTCTTCTTCAAAAACAACGAATTGGTTGTTTGAAGTCTTCAACAATTGTTTTTAGGATCTACCAAAAGATTGAATTGAAAAAAATCTGAATAAAAGATAACTCATAGAGTTTTCCGTCTACAGATTCCACAAGAATGGAACTCTTACCAAGAAATCAAAGAGAAGACCAAAGCTCCAGACAAGAACTGATAAGAACTTTTAAATAAATGGAGACTTTTCAGTTGAATCAGCAAACAGCTAGCAGAATCTTTAATAAATCAAATATGCAAATTGGTTTAAAGCTAATAAAATAATATAGAAGATGAATTATTGGCGTCAAAGAAATCAGCTGACTTAAGAGAAGATAACACAACAAACCTTGATTTCAGACTTGTATCTTTCTCCTTACCTTCAAAACAAAACAAAAGGACAGAACATCATCCTCCATTCAATTATTTGATCCCAACAAGTGATGATGTCACCGCATTAATACTAAGAAACACAAGCAAGAAAACAAACCTCATAGTGATAAACATATTCAAGCTCTGTGCAAAAATAGCTAAGCAATCTTGGCCAAGTCCAATAGTGTAATTCCCTTTTGATTTCTCCATCATGTGTTTCCAATATAGCAAAAATGATGTCAGAAGATGATTAATGATTTATTCTTAAGGCAGAAGATGATTTAAAAACTAACAAACAAATTAAGTTCTCGCTTTAGCCTGCAATGGAACCTAAGGAAACCAATTAAGCACACATTGGTTTGTGAATCCCGGAGGAGAAACAAGTGAATCATCAAAAAACGACAACGTTTTAAGACCACGAAACGACACCGTTTTAACAAAAAACTTGCCGTTGCAGTGTTGTAGAAACGACAGCGTTTTAATCTAACAAAACGTCGCCGTGTTGTATACTGCTAACGGGCGTCGCTTTTCTAGCGAAAACGCTGTCGTTTTAATTAAAATGTTGTGAAAGAAAAATCAAACTAACTGTAGGAGCATGATGTGATGTAACCACTAACCACATGGCAAACGAGTAGAATCAGTCCCAGTTTCGACCTACATTGCATAATGCAAACATCCAAATGAGCAATAATGATAAAAGCTCTTTCCAAAGATAATGAAGTGATTTTAAAACATATAAGAAGCAAATTACCATATGGGAACTCACCAAGTGACCCAGAACTTGACGAATGAAATGAAAAGTCTTCTCGATTAGGAGAAGGTTGACCTCTTAACAAGAACAAGATTTGTAATGTAAAATCCAAAAACCTCATTCCCTAACAGCATTAACACGACCACTTCTTCGCAACCTGACCATGACCCTTACTTAATCTTGGTTGAAGAACCAACTGGAATTTTATTGACCTAGGCTCTGACTTGCTTGACACATTCCGTCATCACAACCCTCACCAATTCCGGTTATGCTCCACAAGTCTATCACATTATTTTCCAGCTTCCGCATGATAATATTTATTGATAAAAATATAATTTATTCAACATGTGGTAGTTTAAAAAACTTTTAATAAATGAAATTATAATATTTATAAATATAATGATATATAAGATTATTTTCTCTAAAAATTTTTTAGTTTATTTGTTTTAGTAGAATTTTAAATTTTGGTTACTCTAAAATTATTTAGACAAAATCCATGGATAACCCTGCAAATCAGCATACATTCGCGCGACGGGTTTGTGTTTCATAAATGCTACCTGCGAGTCGTGCGGACAGACTAACTACATGCCAAAATATATTTTGCCTATTGCAAAACAGGCTTAACGGGACAAATCAACTCGTTTTGACAGCTCTAATGGAAATATTATTTAGTCATACAACACAATGGAGTTTGGACATAGGAATAATAGAATATGTATCTTATTTGTTATATGAGAGATTGAAAAATGAAATATAATGATTAAAAAATAATTAATATTTTTCATGATTCACAAAATTTAATAAATATTTATCATCTTGTTGAATAATTCTAAAAATCATATTCAATAAATCTTTATAATTTGAAAATTAAACTTCTTTGGTAAGCTATAAGTATGAAAATACCATAATTTTGATTTAATCTAATTAAATTTGAAAATTAAACTTCTTTGGTAAGTTATAAGTATGAAAATACCATAATTTTGATTTAATCTAATTAAATTTGAAAATTAAACTTCTTTGGTAAGCTATAAGTATGAAAATACCATAATTTTGATTTTCATTATTAATTCGAATTTATATTCCAAAAATTTTTCAAAGATCCGATTTTATAATTTCGGGTCAATTTTCTGATTTTGACCCGACCCATTTACATTTGTACTTCTCTTTTAATAGTATAGAGATTTGTATAGTTTTAGGATAAATCTTTTTTTTTCTAAAAACTTTCTTTTTAAAAGTTAAACCAACGGCATACGTGGAAGCCCCCTTGGCCCATTGGTTGATCAAGGGTTGATTAATGCTTCTACACCAAGATGTCTGGGGTTCGAGTCCCAGATATTGCGATTTATTAACAAATTTGCAGATTAATTGAGGCAAGTGCAAGAGATCTCCAGCGATGTACAATTATAGCCGTTCGCTAGGATTCAACGCAGAGAAGGAAGTGTCGCCAGGTCGTGGATCATTGAAGGTATTCATCAAGATTACGAAGAAGGAAGTGTAGTCTGTCGTGAATCTAGTAAGGGTCGGAAGGAATTGTCAGTTGTAGAATCGTCTATGTAACAGTTCTCATAATTTGTAATTAATAATAAATCTAGACGACAAAAAAAAAACCAACGGCATACCAACTATTAAAGATTTACTAATAATTTTGGAAGCTCAAATAATTGTAACCAAGTATTAAATCTTTATCTTTATAAAAGCATGGAAGAAAAATACTTATTTACTAGGGTTTAGGTTAGAGACAAAATAATCTAGAACTTACTAATGGGCTTATTTGAGCTTCCAAAATTATTAGTAAACTAGATTATACCCCGCGGTGTACCGTGGGTCGATTTTTTAATTAAAGATTTTAATTTTAAGTTGTAATTCTTTTAATATGTTTATTTTGTTAAGTGTTTAAGATTATATAATTGTATTTTGATTGTTAATTTTAGGATTTCATCCGTGATATATATACCGTCTCGTATTAATATCGATCTAAACCCGTCCCACCATATAACCTCGTTCCGTGAAATTAAACATTATTTTGTTATTTATCTTTTTAATAATATTTTATTTAATATACATATAATTCAAGTCAATTTAAAAGTTTGATTATATATATATATATATATATATATATATTAAATTTTATAGAGTTCAAATATTATTAACGTAATCGATTATAATTTATTTTTTCTTGAAAAAGTGTTTTGATTAATTTAAAACAGTAACTTAAAGATAAATTAAAAAATTATGCAATAAATATTATTTTGAAATTTATTAATTTTGTTAAGTGTTTAAATTTTCTAAAATCTCGGTAATAGTTATAGAAGATTCCGATCTCATTTATTTACCCGATTTGGATACATAATTATTTAGTTAATAATTATTAATTCCATATAATGATTTCCGAGTTAATTGCGTATGACCGACGATCATGATTGAAGATTAAAAACCGGATTAAGATTTGAATGGCCACGATTAAATATAGGGGTTGTTGAGATCTTTTAAAGAAATCGAATTGAATATGGATGTAATTGTGATAAGGATTAGTTATGGTTAATATATTAGGTTAAGATTTTTGGAAACGATATTTTATGTTAATATCTGTGATTTAATTTTGTGAATCTAGATAATTAATGTCAATGACATTTGATCGTAAATAAGTTGGAACTCCGGGATTTATTTCATAAATGTCTCCGAAAATGTATATATAGATCTTTAATAGTTGGTACGCCGTTGGGTTAACTTTTTTTTTTTGCTTATAATGGGCATCCATATAACAATCCATTTATTCATAACAAATTATTAAAAAAAAAAACATTTTATATAAAGATTAACGTGAATTACCGGTAGCATAAAATGTATATTTATTTTTTCTCAAATGTATCAAATAAAGGTGAATTATGATATTTACTTTGAAAAAAAGTTAGAAACTCGTTATTTGAAAAATTATGGTTACTATTCATTATTTGACAAACTCGTTTTGCTATATTACTTATTTATAAACCAAACTCATAATTACTTATTACTTAGATAATTATTATTATTAGAAACTAGCTATTTTTTTACAAAATAAACAAGAGAGAAAATTATAATTCAATGATGCAAAGTTACCTCTCATTATTTGTGACTCACATCAATAGGATGGTGATCAGGACCTGCACCTAGATTGAAATTTATCTTTTCTTTTGATGAATCGGTATCCACTAAAAAGCAATCCAAACATATAAAGAACAAGAAAGCATCTTTATTCTTAACCTTTATAAAAGAAAAAACATATCTTACACCATAAGATATTAAGATACCTTTGAAACAATAATAGACAAGAAAGTGGCTTTAGTAATTTACCATTTAGTTTAGTACATTCATGTTTTCAGTGGTTAACATAGATGAAGTCATAATAAAGATGACTCGATGTTGGATAATTCCGTTACTTGAAGAAGAAGTAATGTCCTTCTAGAAGAAGTTAGAAAAGATAGAAAAAAAGAAATACAAGTAGGATCTAAACATGAAAGATTTAGATAAAGTTTGTAAGTTTTTTTTTTTATAATAGGTTAAGGAGGTGCTTAGTTCTATATAAATAAGAGCATATAGAGAATTGTTCCATAAGATCTTGAGAGAGATTTAGTTTTGAGAAGTTTCTAAATAAATAAATAAAAATTGTTCTTTTTTTTTTGAACACCAAAAATTGTTCTTTAATCTTTCAAGTTCATAGTTTTGATTTGACTCGAGTGGTGCAATATGCATATTTCTATCAAGACGGTAGAAGGAAAGACCATAAACCTAGAGGTTGACGATAGCTCCGATACCATCGATCTAAGGATTCATGGACCCACCCGTGAATTGGTTCTTCGTTTAAGTCCTGATCCGGCTCCGAAAGCAGTCATGCGGATTTTTGTACAGACTCTAGGGGGAAAATTATTCATCCTCGAGGTGGAGGAGACCGAGACCATTGAAAACGTCATGGCCAAGATCCATGAAAAGGGAGGACCACCAGTGGACCAGCAGAGGCTAATCTTCCAAGGCAAGCAGCTCGACAAAGGTCGCACCATGGCTGACTACAGAATCAAGACGGAGTCAACCCTTTGCGTGATGTCACGTCTTTGCGGTTGCTAGCTAGAATAATGTCTATTGTTTTCAAAGTTTTTTTTTGTCTTTCTAAAAACTTGCTGGTTGATTTCCATCTTTTAATTTGGCCAAGTCCAATAGTGTAATTCCCTTTTGATTTCTCCATCATGTGTTTCCTATATAGCAAAAATGATGTCAGAAGATGATTAATGATTTATTCTTAAGGCAGAAGATGATTTAAAAACTAACAACAAATTAAGTTCTCGCTTTAGCCTGCAATGGAACCTAAGGAAACCAATTAAGCACACATTGGTTTGTGAATCCCGGAGGAGAAACAAGTGAAACATCAAAAAACGACAACGTTTTAAGACCACGAAACGACACCGTTTTAACAAAAAACTTGCCGTTGCAGTGTTGTAGAAACGACAGCGTTTTAATCTAACAAAACGTCGCCGTGTTGTATACTGCTAACGGGCGTCGCTTTTCTAGCGAAAACGCTGTCGTTTTAATTAAAATGTTGTGAAAGAAAAATCAAACTAACTGTAGGAGCATGATGTGATGTAACCACTAACCACATGGCAAACGAGTAGAATCAGTCCCAGTTTCGACCTACATTGCATAATGCAAACATCCAAATGAGCAATAATGATAAAAGCTCTTTCCAAAGATAATGAAGTGATTTTAAAACATATAAGAAGCAAATTACCATATGGGAACTCACCAAGTGACCCAGAACTTGACGAATGAAATGAAAAGTCTTCTCGATTAGGAGAAGGTTGACCTCTTAACAAGAACAAGATTTGTAATGTAAAATCCAAAAACCTCATTCCCTAACAGCATTAACACGACCACTTCTTCGCAACCTGACCATGACCCTTACTTAATCTTGGTTGAAGAACCAACTGGAATTTTATTGACCTAGGCTCTGACTTGCTTGACACATTCCGCCATCACAACCCTCACCAATTCCGGTTATGCTCTACAAGTCTATCTCATTATTTTCCAGCTTCCCCTAGATCAATATAAAAACTATAATTAATCTTCATCTTCCAATTGCTAACAGTGCCCTATCTCTTTCTTCTGCAGAAATCAATCATGTCAATTGCTAAAACTCAAAACCAATAGCAGAAATACTAGTCGAAAACGCGGGGTTTTTGTAGTGTGACCAGTGACCACTCGGCTAAAACCGCTGCGTTTTTTTTTTTGTAAGATCAATGGTTTGGTCACGTGCCTGATAAGCGGGCAATAATAGCGCACCCGGTTTGTTTGATTGATATCATTTTCCTCTTTGTTCAAGAACACAACAAAACTAATTATTAAAAAAGAAAAAAAAAACATTTTATACAAAGATTAACGTGAATTATCTATAGCAAAAAATGTATATTTATTCTGTCTCAAATGTATCGAATAAAGGTGAATTATGAAATTTACTTTGAAAAAATTTAGAAACTAGCTATTTTTTGCAAAATAAACAAGAGAGAAATTATAATTCAATGATGCAAAGTTACCTCTTATTATTTGTTACTTATTACATCAACAAGACCTGCACCTAGATTTAAATTTATCTTTTCTTTTGATGAATCGTTATCCACGAAAAAACAATCCAAACATATAAAGAACAAGAAAGCATCTTTATTCTTAACCTTTATAAAAGAAAAAAACATATCTTACACCATAAGATATTAAGATACTTTTGAACAATAATAATAGACAAGAAAGTGGCTTTAGTCATTTACCATTTAGTTTAGTACATTCATGTTTTCAGTGGTTAACATAGATTAGTCATAATAAAGATGACTCGATGTTGGATAATTCCGTTACTTGAAGAATAAGTAATGTCCTTCTAGAAGAAGTTAGAAGAGATAGAAAAAAGAAATACAAGTAGGATCTAAACAGGAAATATTTAGATAAAGTTTGTAAGTTTTCTTTTTCATAATAGGTTAAGGAGGTGCTCAGTTCTATATAAATAAGAGCATATAGAGAATTGTTCCATAAGATCTTGAGAGAAATTTAGTTTTAAGAAGTTTCTAAATAAATACTTTTTTTTTTTTTGAACACCAAAAATTGTTCTTTAATCTTTTTTTATTTGACTCGAGTGGTGCAATATGCATATTTCTATCAAGACGGTGGAAGGAAAGACCATAAACCTAGAGGTTGATGATAGCTCCGACACCATCGATCTAAGGATTCATGGACCCACCCGTGAATTGGTTCTTCGTTTAAGTCCTGATCCGGGTCCGAAAGCAGTCATACGGATTTTTGTACAGACTCTAGGGGGAAAAGCATTCATCCTCGAGGTGGAGGAGACCGAGACCATTGAAAACGTCATGGCCAAGATCCATGAAAAGGGAGGACCACCAGTGGACCAGCAGAAGCTAATCTTCAAAGGCAAGGAGCTCGTCAAAGGTCGCACCATGGCTGACTACAGAATCAAGACGGAGTCAACCCTTTGCGTGATGTCACGTCTTTGCGGTTGCTAACTAGAATAATGTCTCTTGTTTTCAAAGTTTTTTTTTTTGAGGTTGATTTTTGGTGATTTATCTAAATCTTTCATTATTATGTTTCTCTAAATTGAGATTTATCTTTAATTTTTGATGAATCGTTATCCACTACTGAAAAAAAGTAATCCAAACATAAACAATAAAGCATTTTATTTCTTAACATTAAAAGAAAAGCACATATATATATCTTAAGGCCGGAGATACATATGTGACCATGATAGACAAGAAATCAGCTTTGGCATTATGATATAAACCATTTATTTTTGGTGATACTAATAGCGCAGATACTAGTCAACAAAATAAAATTTAAAACAGAACATGTGCTTTACACTGTTTAAAAATCTCTTTTAACTTATTGATAGAAACTTTACTATATTATAAAAGATTCCCACTGAAATTACAACTCTATATAAGCCACTCTTGAATTCACTCTTCTATATCAACAAATACAAACAAAAATAAAAAGAAAAGAGAGAACAAAGAAGCTAGTTAAAGCTTTGTGATCATATCAAAATGAACAGCCAAAAGGATAACAAAGATGAGAGTTCAACATATTATGATACTGCAAAAAAAGTTGCAGGCGTCGCCGGAGCCGTTGTAGCATTTGCCGGTCTAGCTTTTTTGAGCTTTGCCTCGAGCTCGGAAGAGACGAAACAGGAAGAGAAGATGATGAAAGCTCCTGGGGGAAATGGTTATATTCCAAGGAAACCTTTCGAAGATAACCCCAAAGACTTCTTCGAGCAGCAGCGTATTAATCGTCGTAATAGTAGAAATTGAAAATATATTATATATATATAATGCGAAAATATGAGTGTGTGGAAAGATTTGCCCCTTCCAACTTTTTATTATATAATTATATAATAAAATGAAAATAGATGTCGTTTATATGTAACATGTTATAAGGGGATCATTTATAATCTTTCTATTTTGAGTTACTTGTGTTTATTGTTATGTTGTAATAATCGGCAGCCAGCCAGGAATATATATGACCTGAGTCAGTGAAAAGTGAAAACTTGTTTAAGATTTTAATATAGTTGTGAAATTTTTATCTATAATTTAGAATGCACAAATCAACGGCAGTTGAATGATAATTCATGAAGAAAACTGATTAGAAATATAGGAAAAAGTTATTGGTGAATTGCGAGTTTCATACACTTAGTTACACTGAAAAATTGAAGCCAAATTTAATAGAAGCAACTTTAAAAATCCTGTCAACCGATCTGTAGTAATTTAGAACCTTATATCTTTGAATCAGATCAAGGTAAATAAATATTTTATCACATTAATACTTCAGAAGATATTATATTAATATTTTTTTGCACATTAACTGAAAAATATTTGATTTTGATATGATTATTTCAGATTGAATAAATATAAATCCTTCCAGGATTTGACAAGCAATTCTAATTTTTATTGGATTTTTAACAAATTGAGATGCCTAACCCACTCCTACCGAAATTGGTCCACATTAATTTTGTGTTTGTTGACACAACTGGTCCAAATTAATTAATGAAATATTCTTTATTTAATATGCTTCCTTTTCTTTTTTTATACCATTTATATGTTCCCTTTTTTTTTTGTAATTGACAATTTATATTATTTCCTTTCGGGATTGACTTCAAAGATACCAATAAATGGTAATAGACGTCGCGTCACATTAGCAACCCTAAAAATTATTCAACAACTTTTAACTCAAGGCGAATTGCTGGCTGGGGATGTGCTTTTAGTCAAGTGGTTAAGTCCACTTGTCTCCGTCTTCCCTACCGGAGTTCGACTCCATTAAGTCGCGTTACCCCGCATAGTAGGGATTGGCTATAGATCGGGCCTTGTCGATCCAAAGATGTCAAAAAAAAAAAAAAGGGGAATTGTTGGCTATAACCAACAAAAAAACTTTATTTAACAAAGTAACCATAGTAACCATCAATAGGTGATATTCTCTGTATATTGTATATTATTGACCATTTTACCTTTGTTGCATAAGTTGTCTTCTATCTCTCTCTCTTGATAACACCTTCTTCTGATATATCTTCCGTTTAATTTAGTATTTTGTATTCTTTGTTATCGTCACCGTACTATATAGAACACTAAAATGTTATATTCCATTTTTCTAAATAAATTCACTATTTTAATTTTTATATTTATTAATACCATTTTTAGATATATGTTTTGGGTTTGGGTTTAGACTTCTGGATTTAGGGTTTAGTATTTTAGAGTTAAAAGTTGATTTTAAGTATAATATATAAGATATAGTAAAGTATTATATCTATTTTTGTGTGATTATGTATATTACAATATATTTTAGTTATAAACATTATTTATTAGGCATTGTGGATACCACCATCACCACTATGTTAATCATTAGTATTTTGTTTGCTTCTATACTATTTCTTTTGTGTTTTATATAAACTAAGTTTATTAATTTATTTTTTACTTTTATAAGTTTTGGTCGGTTTTTAGAAATCCAAATCATAATATATAGAGAAAAAAAGACCAGATTTTTTTCTATAAAAATTATAAATTTAAATTAATGTTTTCAAACACTAAATATAATGTAAAAATCAAATGGGGTAGAAATAAAACAAATATTAAAAAAAGAAGCAATTAAGCTTTTTTCTCTCTCTCACAGACGTCACCTCTCTTTTCTTCCTCCTTGTGTCTTACACCCAAGGTGTGTTTTGTCTTTTCACTACGTATTATGGTTATTCTCTTCATTTTGGACTTTAGTATGCTATATTCTTCATTTCGTTTATCAAAATGGCCACTCACCTAATTGCCCCAATATTCAAACATCGTGCCGTTTCTTCTACTAGAGTTGGTCAACTATGATTGCTTGTGTGTGTGGAGCTCTCGTTGACTCCTAAAAATAAGCTGAAAAATAAAGAACCGGTCCAAATTGAATCTGTATAATCAAATCGGACCAAACCGAAATGGTGATACCAATTATTGATCTGAATGGTTATAGATTTTATATTCAGTTTTTCAGATTTGGATTTTAGCTTTTTAGAATTTAGATTTTGTTGTGAGCTTTTTTCTTTTTGAAGAGAATGTAAACTTTATTCATCTTTAAAACAAAAGTAATGTTTTTGCAAGAAATGCATCAGTTTGTTGAATGGCCGCTTGAAACAAAAACATGGTTACATACAACATTATTCGATCTTGGTGAGAGTTAGAGATTAATTGAGAGGATGTCCCAATCAAGACAAGTAAAGATAAGTGTGTATTTCTAAATACACCAACTTGTATTTTGTTGTACAAAATTCACTGGCTTTGGAAAAAAATATGACTTTTTTTTTTGTCAACCACACGTAAATGAAAAATATCACTCCATGATTGATAACTTAATATAAAGAAGTATGAAAAGTTTATGAGAGAACAATAATAAGATTGTTGGGTAAACATTCAAGACTTTGCTTAAGGCCCAAGAAATATTTAATGAGGAGGTTAAAGATAAGATAGGCTTAAGAGATTGACAATAGATTTAGGAGATATCTAATCCTATTGTATCTAGGAATTTACATGTTATGTTTTACTATAAATACATGTCTTAGGGTTGAGATGTAACCTAAGAGAGATTGTAAGTTTGTTTAGTTTTGAGAAGTTTCTAAACATCAATAAAAGTGAGGTATACTTTGATTGAATTCATTCTTGAATAGCTTTAGGTGTCTCTTTAAAGATCGCATTTAAAAAAAGTTTGTTAAGAATGAAAAGATAAATTTGTACAAATATTTCATTTCATGTTTTTTGGATCAAATTATTTAGGTTTTAGTTTATAGGACCTGAATCGAAATTTATTTTAATGTAAGCAATTTGAGTTGAAAAATTAATGGAGTTTATTAAATTTCTATTTTTTAGTTTTTTTTTTTTTTATCATCTGTTACATCATTATTTGAAATATATTTGATCTAATCCTCTTATGATATAGACTACGTATAACATTAAACGATAAAAAAAAATTAAATTGGACACAACGTCACAAATTAGGCTAATTGGTATTATTTATCTATATCATCCAAGATGTATCAGGGCATATATCCCAAATAAGTACATCGATCTTGCGATTTTGGGAATGACGACGATGTTGTTATACTTTGAAAGCTCCGAACCAACGGCTAATGAATAGGTTGTATATTCAATTTTGTCACCAAGGACTTCATCTCGATGGTACAAAGGAGTCTGTTTCCACCGTTTCCACCGTCTCTAACAGCTGACAAGGTGACTCGACGGAGGTATTAAATTCTTCGAGTAGGATTCAACTTTGGAAGTGTTTGTGAGCTCACACAAGGCAGAAACAGCAGCTGCAACCAAATAGGCTGAAAGCTACGTACCAAAAAAGATGATGACATCAATAAAATGGAAACAATCTACTATACATTTTTGCAACAATTTTTGGGGTTCCTAATCGGGTCAAATTTTGTTTAATTTTGACCCGGAAATCTTCAATCGGATCTTTCCTTATTTTTGACAAAACTAAAAAACGAAAATTAATCAATAAAATCTAAAAAATATATATTTTCTCAACTAATTACTATACATAAACTCTTTATTTATGGCATATTCTCTACAATTTTTATGATATAGAAATCAAATATGATTATTTAATGCTAATATAACAAATTTGAACTAATTTCTTAAAACCTCTCTACCTAATTAAAACATAAATATATGATTCTCATTTCACTTTTTATATGATCTTATATTTATATTATTTTGAACTATTATAAAATATATATACTTAATAAAAAAATTCGATTTTTTTTCTGCATATGCTATGATTCAAATTTTTTAAAACGGACATATATTACTCAATCGATGAAGAAAAAAGTATGTGTACAATCTATATTAACATTTTTGAAAAACAAATTTGCGCGTTTAATCAGGTCGTATTTTTTTTTTACTCTGACCCGGAATTGAGTCATTCAGATATTTTCTTAATTTCTACAATAATCTAAAACTGAACAATATACCACGGTGAAATCTTAAAATTAACAAATCGAAATACAATTATTTAGTATTTTAATATACATTTTTAAAATATTTTTACGGGTTGGTCTAAAAACACACACTTATTTGAATATATATATATATATTATAGAAACTATTTGAAAGCAAACTTTTAAATTG